TACAACAAAATCTAACATTTCTGCCCTGTGACTCACAAGGTTAATTCTGAGTGTTTAATCTTGCTTTAGATGAACAAATACAGAACCATAACAATAACATACATGATATTCCTGGGTTGAAAGTTTATGATGACTACAACTGTGAGATGAGATCATGTTACACCTGTTTCAACCTCTTTATATTGGTCTGTTTCTATAAGAGTTTTAATTTTAGAATCATATTGAAAATATTTCAAACACTGCGTCGCCTGATAACTGCATTGTTACTGAATTGTGGAGTCCAAGAATGGAGGCTAAAGACCAGAGGGGACTGGGACTTTTCTGGAACCAGGGCTCCTGTAAATTATTAGTTTATTTATCTAATCATTTCAACTGCCTCTTTAAATCTCAATCTCTGCTTTTAATATTTGAATTACCCCGATCAGTTGTTCACTTTATGACCAATATCAAATGGAATAAAGCGAACATTTTAAATGTTAAAGCCATGATGGTGTGGCAGTGGTAACATGTTTTCAATAAAGTTCTCAAAAATAAATTCTTGACTTTGCAACGTTCAAGTCATAACATCCACATAATAAACCATAACTAGAAAATTCCAGGGAAATTTTGAAGTGCCAACGGCGGGTACTGCCGGGATGAGTACATGATTTATTTTCCAGTGTTCAAAAGTCACCCTGATCATATTTCTGTTTTGAGAAATTTCTTGATATAAAAGACTAAACAATGTCACATCCCTTCATCATGTATTATGTGGAACATTCTCATATTCTGTGCTGTGTTGTTTTATTAATAAAACAAGAGGCAACATGTCTTCAAACTGGATTTTAAAGGGTTAAAATCCTGAAAACTAATAAACATTTGGTAGGTTTGAGCAGAACTGAAAGTGGTTTAAGAGAATGTATGCAAAAAAAAAGCAGAAAGAAATATTTGATATATGAATAATTTTATAGCATTTTCTTGTGTTGTACGTCCGTGCATCTGGACGCGGTGGCACCCCAGAAGCTCTAGTCGAAAATGTGTACGCCAATGTGTTAGTAATAAGACGAATAGCTATCAGCTTAACATGACATATAGATTTTATAAACAAGTATCGTCAAAAAAGACGCTTTCTTGCAGGAAATCCAACCTCTCAGCTGTATACACAGCCACAGACATGATCAGCAAATCCAAAAAAGAAAAGTGAAGAAAAATGTCACAAAAAAAAGGACAGAGGGACCCCTAGAAGGATAATAAATCCCATTGAACGCCTATTTAAATTACTCCCACTATTATGTTTTTTTCTCTTGCCTAAATTTAACATTACTGGGGTAGGAGGAGCAATCGCGACCTAGAAGTGACAGCGAGAATGAGGGCTAGTAGCTTCTTCCTCTCCTCCTGTCTCAGCGGAGACGCGTCACAACTTCATTCACTCATTTAACAAAACAAAAAGAAAAGCAACACAAGAAGCGTAAATGGATTAACATATTTAAGACCTAACTAAATGTAATTTAATGACCCTAACATGCGCGCTAATGTAAAGCCTAGCGGAGCGTTGGAGAGAGTGTTATACTGGTTGCTAGGCGCACGCACCACGCACACAGGTCAGGAGCTGCCGTTGCCCATGGCAATGTGAAAATCTGCCAGTAATTTTGGCTTCCTACATGGCCTTCAAACAATTGCGAAATTATGAGAGAAATCCGTTTACTTCCGTTTCAAAACCTAAAACACCCGGTGAGACACTGAAGCCAGAAAGTTTCTTACAGGTCCTCTATTTTATTCAGATATTCCTTAAAATGAGTGAGTAAGGCTCAGTGCGAAGACAGAGTGAGATTCTTTTGAAAAAGAAGACGATTAATTAGGTGTCAATGAGAGGGAGACAGGTATTAGCTGCGGACTCGGCACCACCCGTTTAAATTTTGTGCAGACCCTGTCTGTCAAAGTTACATTTTATGAATCCGAACAACTATGTCTAACATTTTCAGAAAGAATTATTTGTCTCCTTTTTACGGTTTGGCGTGAGCTCGAGCTTTAAAAATTAAAAATAAAGGTTATTTTTTACGTGCTTTCACGCACTCTAGCCAACTGATGTCTTTCTCTCTAACTTTGAAAGAAAAAGTGATTTGCACTCCTCCTTTTGAGTGCTCATAGTTTGAAAGTTTACATGTTATTGTAAAAACAGTTCCTATGTGTTTGTTGAGAGAGCAGAAGTTTTCCTCCGTTTTATAGTTTGGAATCACATATTTCTATGTGCAGGTATGAGAGAGCTGGGTGCTCAGAAAAAAGGTGAAATTTTGTAGAAAAAAGGTGGCGTTTCTAAAGAAAATTCCAATGCATTCCTAATGCATTTATTTATTCCCAGTTATTTTTGGGGAATAATCTTGGGTGGATTTATAAATTGGAATTTTACACCAAAAGTCATAGCACCTCTTTTCAGGATCAAGACGCACGTTTTGATGTTATATATTACCGGGGTTTTCTCAAAGCTGCGGACGAGTTACGCCCAAAATTTGCGGAAGAATAATAAAACCGAGGCCCGAGGCATCCTCTCAGCTATTCTTACTCGTGGCACTAATAAGAGCTCTGTAAGAGCTGGATACCACAAAGCTTGATGTTTTTCATCCATTTTATTAAAGAATGTTTTTTCAGGACAGAATGACATAGGAGGAGAGACGTTCATAACATTTCCTCTTTGTTGAGAAGTTTCTGTGAGACCACAAAACTAAACTTATGTGTACGGGACTAATATCTTGACCTCAGTACCAAGAATCTCAAACTCAAAGCCTCCATTAACAGATGGATGGACTCACAACATTTGTATTGTTTACGAATCCATGTGTAGGAGTAGTAAGTGTAGTAGTGTCCAATTTGTTTTGAGTCGATCATCTGGAAAACTCGCTCATATCATTTAAACCAGGAAAAACTAAACAAACAAAGAACTAATGCTGGAGTGGAGGACAAAACTAAAAACACTGCAGGAGGGAAAGGACAATGAAACAACTGAAACACCTCAGGGCGGGAGATACAAGGGCAAAGAAGTTCAAGGAGTGCGTTGAAACCCAGA